ATTTCCGTACTGGTATTTGTTTTTCGTGACTATACTTGTTGACATGCTATAAGTTTAATTAAGGGCTATCCATATTTACTTACTGAGTTATCTCATAGTTTTTCCTTGTCCACCATTTCAGGAAGCGAAGTCAAGGACGGGAAAAAACGAGGGGAGTGATGAGTTAGAACGCTAGCCATCTTGTAAATTGAACATAGATTTAGATATAAATCATGATCTTGTAAGTTAGACTTTATTTGGAGATTTTATGATATCAGAGCAAATTTTATAATTTTATCTTCAGATTTTGTGGTATCAGATTGTGGTATGATAAAGTTTCGAGCCTTGTGCATTTGTGGGACCCGTTCACGAGTGCACGGTGTCTACCACGTCCCCAGATTTGGGTTCTGGGGCGTGACAGATTGAGTGGTATCGGAGTTTAAGTTTAAATTAAGAGCTTAGGATTAAATTAAGCACCTCTAGATTGAGTGGTATTAGAGCTTAGGTTTAAATTAAGAGCTTAGGATTAAATTAAGCACCTCCAGATTGAGTGGTCCCAGAACCCAAATCCAGGGATGTGGCATATATGATTGACTCAAAGTAACCAATAAATGGCATAGAAGAGTTCTAATCCTTTATCATACAATTAGTTAGCCACCAAGTCCCTTGCATGTATTTTCTCAACTGCTAGGTCAAGGCATAACCCATCCAAACCACCCAAGCAAAAAGGCATTCTTTAAGAGCGTGAATTATAGTTTCACCTTGTTAACCACATAGAGGGTAGTAGCAATCAAAATCAATTTTTCTTCCTATAAACATCTTCTTTGCCGACAATATACTATGATATGCATTCCATATAAAAAGCTTCACTTTCTTAGATAATACCAAATTCCATAGCTTTCCCTCTTAAAAATCATCCCCTAAAGAAGTTGCCTAATTTTCCAATTGTTTTGCACACACCACGTAATGTCTTGAATGCATTGAATACTTACCTCTCTTTGTAAAAAAATTGTCACACCTACCATCTACCATAATCTCCTACTAAGAGATATCAAGAGAATAAGTTAGGCTTCATATGTTGAACAAAGCTCCTCCACCAATTTCCACTGTCAAGTACGCATTTCCTCATCTATTAACTTATGAAAAAACATTAATGAATAATGTTCAGGCTTAATACCAATAGTAAACTAAGAGCTTCCTGTCAACCATAGGTCCCCCCCAATTCTAGTGGTTCTTCCATCACCAATCCTTTCAAAATATACCATGCCTCCTATATACTCCTCCATGTAAACCGAGGGTTATATCCTCTTTGCTTGAAGGAAATTTTTCCTCATAAAATGCTTTACGTTCAAAGTCCTAACAGCAAAGGAATGAGGTTCCATTATTTGATGCCATCTTTACTTTAAAAATATTGTTATATTAAATTCATGAATAAACCAAAATCCCAAACCTCCTTCCTTTTTTCACTTTGTAAGCCTTCTTCATTCAAGCCAATGGATTTTATGTGCATTCTTTCCACCTCCCCACCAAAACCTACCCATAATTCTTTCTAGCTTGTTGCTTGATGTGATAGGTAGTTTAAACAATCTTATCATCTACGTAGGTATAGATTGAAATACTTATTTTATCAAAACCAACTTACAACCCGAGACAAAGGTTGCTCTTTCCAGCCACTAATTTGCCCTACAAACTACCTTTTAAACCTTAGAAAATTTCCATCCTTGATTTCCCCACATGTGCCAAAATACCTAAATAGGCTCCACATTGTTCCACCTTTTTGATAAATTAAGACTTGTACAATTTGAACCTGTGCTCTCTCTTACACATTCTTGCTAAAAAAGACTAAACACTTATGAAAATTAATTATCTGGCCTAAGGCTTCTCTATAGCATGTCAATATGTGACAATTCTAAGAAAATTCCATATCGATAAAGCATGGAAGAGATGTTAAGTATATAAGTCAACACATGTTAAACTTATGGACACATGTTAAACTTATGGACATATGTTAAAACTATAAGGCCTAATAAGTTAGAGCAAACAATATCAATAGTTAGTCAAATTATTACATATGGTATCAAAGCTACTCTGCATGACTTTTTGAATGGTGGTGAGGCAAATTTCAATAAGGACATCGAGTCTCGAAAGAGAGGGTGTACATGACACCTCTCGGCCAATCTCACATTGACAAAGTACAAGAAAGATGCAGGGTATATAAGTCAACTCCCATTAACACGTATTGATGTGTTTTAAAATCGTAAGACTTGATGGTCGAAATAGAGAATATCAAAAGTGGGTTAAGTCATTACATATAATATCAGAGTCATTTCATGTGACCTCTGAAACTGTGGTGGGGTAAATCTTAGAAAGGACATTGAGTCTTAAAAAGTTGACAACCTTAAGCAAATCCCATATCGATAAAGCATGGGAAAGATGTTTGGTATATAGGTTAATACTTGTTAACCTCTATAGACACATTTCAAAACTGTGAAGCCCAATGGGCTAGAAAGAACAATATCAATGATGGGCTGGGTCATTACATTGTCACGCTTCAAACCTAATAATGCATTAATGCATTTATTAAAAATAAAAGGTTAAACCCCTAACCTGGTCCCTCAACTTTTGTACAGACCCTAGAGTTGGTGTCTAAACTAAAAAAACAAAAAAAAAAAAAAATCTCTGATTTATTCCTTAAAGCTTCCAAATTTGGCCCTAAGTTGCTTCGTCTATTATCAAATTGCTAACATGTCCCGTTACATGACAGAAGAATGAAAACATGTCAAAACATCAATACATGTAGGATTGATAGTGTGGCCAAAAAAATTTTAAAAAATTCCCTTTTGTCCTTTCTTTCTCTTTCCATTTTTCTTTTCTCTTCCTTTCCTTTGACTTTTGCAACCCCTAACTCCTCAAATCGTTCACCACGGCTATTGTACACATCTCCTCTTTCCCTTGCAATTAATAAAATATTAAATTTCTTCAAAGAAACTAGAATAAAGAAGAAGAAAAAAGGACATTAATTAAACAAGTAATAATATATTAAATTTCTTCAAAGAACCTAGAAAAAAGAGTGTTAGAAAATAAGATTCACACACTAGATTTAAGGTATAAACCAAGAGAGAAACAAAGACCATTAACAATAGAGAAAGCTAGATCAATAATCAACTAACAAAATCCTAATACAAATTACAATAAACAAATGTATTTAAAAGAATGAATGGGTACATGCAATATAACTCTTAAATGGAAATACATTAGAAATCAATTCATCACTAGCCATTTGAATTAAGTAAAACTAGTCTGGGTAACATTGCTGTGTTCAATTGACCTTAAAAAGCTAGGTTCCACTAAACCCAAGTTGTGGATTCAATGGAACCTAGAAATATGGGTTCGATTTTGGGTTCAATCGAACCTCTTTTCTCTAGTCATAACTTAATTCGAGAACCCTTACCACAATTTCAAGGATGTAGAAAGTTTCCAAGATAAGAGCGTAAGATTTGGAGAGGCGATAAGAGAGATGTTGGGTAACACTTGACAAGCAAATTGATGGTGTGGGATGATTGAAGGTGCCATTGTGCAAGATTAGGGTTTATGTGGTGAATCATAGGACAAGAGAAGGTCGTTCACTTCATTGACCTAAAGATACAAAAGAAATAATGGGAGTGGTGAGAGAAAGAAAAAATTCAAGAGAAAGAGGAACAAACAAATAGTTAAGGATGATAAACCCAAATCTATGGGTTTTGCAAGTGAGATGAATGAAGGGGAGAAAGAACTTAGAGAAAGGGAAGGAGAAAGAGGAACAAAGGGTAAGATGACCAGAGACATTCATTGGAGAACGAGAAAGATGGCCAGAGATGAAAGAGGAGAATTAATTAGATTGAAAACACATTCTTTATTTTTGGCAAAAAAAAAAAAAAGATCTAAGGATAAATCTCAATGATTATTTACTAAATTAATTAGTTGAGACCCACATGTTGGAATGAAATGTTAATTTAGACCTATATTATTTTCCATGTCATCAATTTTTATCTACATGGATTGTCAACTTTGAAATAAAAATGATCTTGCCATCAACTAATGTTCCACATTAGTGAGAATTTAATAGAAGGACCAAAAAAGAGCCAAAATTTCAAACTTTATGAACTAATTCAAGGATTTTAAGTTTAGAGACCAACTTGGGGGTTTGTACAAAAGTTAAGGGACCAAATTAGGAGTTTAAGCTTAATAAAATCAATTAATAACATAAAACTAATCAAGTTATAAAATACTGCCAAAATAATTAAGCCATGTGCCATCTAGAATCCATTTCTAAATTGAATAACAAAATGTCACCATAACTAGAATAAACAACATGGCTAAGTCCATAACTGCCTTAAAATATCACATAGTTTGATCACCTCGTTCTTAACCTTTAAATTACCCAATGTATGGTTAGAATTTTTATGCTTCTTATTGTTTAATTTGAGACATGGATTCAATTTCAATTATCAAACTCGAGTCATATTAATTTTAATCAACTTTTGTTTTAATGGTTTCTTATTTTCTTACCAAGGTCCTACACACATGTTTTTCATTTTCTTTTTCAATTTTCAAAAAACTTGTGATAAATCTTAACTATTAAAAGTTGAGAGATAAATGATTAAGATTTTGTATAAATGTGATGTGTAAAATTTGTATATAAGTAGATCCCTACTCTTTATATATATGTGTGTGTGTGTGTGTGGTTTTAAATTGCACAATGGGAGGTAATTTTTTCTCATTTCTCAACTCATCCTATCCACATGTTATATGACTAGAACTTAGAACCTCTTACTTTCAAGAGAAGGAGATTACAACTAAACTACTTAGATTATGTAATATCCCAAAATTTCTAGAATTTTAACATGAAGTTAAGGACTTGATTATGAGGAAATGCTGTTTTGGGACTTAATAGCAAAGTTTTTAAATTTCAAGGGGCTTAAAAGTGAAAGATAATAGGATAAGGATCGAAGGATTTTTCTTCTTCCCAGCCTTGCGCGTTTCTGCTTTTCTTCTCCCCTGCAACTCCCAAAAGCCCCCAAGCTGCCGACTCCCCTTCCCTTGAGAAAAACTAGTAAGAAGCTTGGATTTTCCCCTTATTTTCTTGTTCAAGAACAAGATTTGGAGCCTTGAAATCTTCCCCCCTGCAAGAAGCTTTCGAATCTGCTCTGCTCTGCTTCTTCCGTCCACTGCTCTACCGTGTGTGGGGGTGTGATTTGCTCCCGTTTCTGGTAAGAAACAGCCATGAATCTCCCTTCTCCAGCTTTAATTAACTTGGGTTTACTCTAATTTTGTGTTGTTCCTTCAATGTTGGGTTGATCCCGTGAGTTTCCCTACACTGCCGCCGGCTTCCCCAAACTGCAGCTCCGGTATTTGGCTGCTAAA